CCACGCAAATAAGTAAAAATGATGATTTTTACAGGTGAGGGAAAATGCTTAGGCCATTTCTTCATTAGCAAGGAAGAGGGAACAAAGGTGTGAAGAGACTGCTCTTTTCAGGACCTTCTGCACTTTCTTTTGACTTCCCTCTTCCTGTTGGCCTGTGTATCGTTGCTCAATACCCCCTACTTGTATCCACCTTTGTTGTTTAGACCCACATGCTGGGTCTTTTAGTTTCTCTTTTCTCTTAACTTTAAAAATATGTCCAAGAAACCATGCTCTTAATCAAAGGCGGAAGTTAACGTAACAAAAATGACATTTGCTACCGGGAAAACAAGTCGTGGTGCTCTTCTCAGTAGAATAATTATCCCATGGCCTCCAAGAGATACAATTCACAAGAGAGACAATCCAAAGGAATTTTAGGCCATGGGACAAGTGGGAGAGAAACTTCTGTTGGGGGCGGCCTTGCAATATCGTTCATTTATGACCTTCCTGCACTCAGCCAAGCCAGCAGGTGAGCTCTAGGTGGTAACCCAGTCTAAAACTCCAACAGCTTCAAAGGGGTTGGAGAGAAAGGGGGAAGGCAGGAACTTCAGTTGGGGTAATTGGCTAGTCCACCAAGGTACAGACTTCATCAAGAAATATGAGAGCTTTCCTACACACCACTGCTGAATACTTTTTCTACTGGGAAGTGACACAAGAGCTTAAGAATATCATTTTGATTAGTCACCACAGAAAAGAACCAGAAATAAATGTTGTGGCATATCAAATTGCTATTTGGGGTAGAAGTGGACAAAGAGGAATGTAAGTTACAATTAGTGACTACAAATATAGAACATTAAAAAAACTAGAATTTTACCAGGGAAGTTTTTACTGGGAGGAATGCCTTTTGCTGGTCCCATTTACAAATGTGTAACGCTAATCCAGTCTAAGACTATCTTGTTTTAAATCTTGACATATCAAATATTGATAATGTTATTGTGTTATCCAAATCTTTTCCATGTTACCTTTGTAAACCCTTCTAAACATTTTAAAATGTTGCTACATTGATTAAACTTCACACTTAAATACACAACTCAATGGAACATTGAAATTCCTTTGTTTTACTAAAGGAATATGTTTCATTAACTTAATATATACCACATATTTAACTACTTATAACAGGGCATGTCTGAATGCAAAATGATTGGAAATTGAGAACCAAAAGCAGCTAACAATTTCAGGCCATACATATAAAATTAGACTAGTAAAATAACAAATCTTCTCTAATAAAAGCACAGTATTTAAGTTACATGATTTTTCAACCTCATGAATAGAAACACTTAATACAAGTTAAGGAACCAATAATTTCCTAGTTAAATCTAAAAGTGCATATCAAACTTCGGATAATTTGAACTGATTTGTGAAGGCCTAATTAAAAGTAATGCATATGGTATATCCTTTCTCCAAACTCTAAAACCAAAATGGTTCCACATGACCTAATAAAGCAGAGTCAGCCCGACACTCTGCTCTTGTTGTAATCTAACCCCTCTGTACCTTCAATCTTTTTATAAATATTCTTCAACTTAACCTCATTGCTCCAGGCAGGACCGTGTCATCTCACACATTTTTACTGAGTGCTTATGATCCATGAGCACTTCTACAAGGTGTCTGTGAATAGAGCGAGAACCAAACAGAAATGGTACCTCCTCCCACAGAGTTCAAGCTAATGGGAAAGTAGACAATTCAGCCACAACTGTAGATACTAATGTGATAGGGAGTCAAAGGAAAATATGACCAGGTACTCAATTCAGACTTGGAAGAGCAGGAAAAGTTTCCGAGAAGTAGAGCCTCATTTCAGATTTAAAGGATGAGTACATATGGGCCTCTCCAAAGATCAAGCAAGGGGAAAGGAAATCAAGAAAAGGGGAGAGGGGCAGATGTCTTTTTCCACAAAGGAATACTGCAAAGCTGTGACTTGGGAGACTTGGCATGGCCCTTTCTCCTTCCACACCTGGTTATATATGTGCACACGTGCATACACACACACACACACACACACACTCGCCTGCTTTGTGATGTCCTTCCTTTCCTCTCTCTAGAACACTCTCCCACTGTTCTCCACATTTAAATCCTACAGGTCCTGCAAAGTTCAACACTGTGGTGTTGTTTTAAGATCTCAACTAAGTGCTCCATCTTCTCTAGAAAGCTTTTCCAGTATCTCCGTCTTGCAGAACTGTCTCCCTTCTTTCAGGTTTTTTAGAAATTATTTAAAATTCACCACAAGTATTAAGCCGACTGCTAGGTGCTGACATGTACAATTCTGAGACTATTTCTGGGTTTTGTTATCTCCACACACGGACTTTAAATTCCCTCAAGTCAGGGACTGTGTCATAAACTTTGCTTGTATCTCTGTCAGTGACAAGCATAATCCATTGTAAACTTTATTGCAAGAAGTACAAAAAGGTGACTGAACCCCTGAGAAGAGTGTCATAAAACACAAAACGTGCTAAGCTTTCAAAAACTACAAATTGAAAAGAATGTTTCTTTAATTCTTTTTATATTGATAAAGTGGTGATAATGGCATTTTACCAGATGTACATAAAGTTTCCCAATGAGGGATGAAGAAATTCAAATAGTACAGGCAGAAATATTGTATTTTTGTTTCACTTCTCTTCTTCAAGAAAATAATATTCACTGGCAAAAGTAAGACAAACACACACACACACACAAAAACACATTTAAAGGTCCAAGGTAGAGTATGATATTAAATAGTCTAAATGAGTTTGAGATGACTAATTTGGAGAAATTTCACTGCAAAGTACTGAAGGATTTTGTGGATAAGGTAAGTGAAGAGTTAAAATCATCTTTACAGATATTGGAATGAATAGAAAGGTTAATAAGAAACAAAAAAATCCAGCCAGTGTCTCAGTTTTCAAAATAGAGAAGGCGGATTCTGACAACTCAAGCCTAAAGAGCTTTGACATTATCCCAGGCATGAGTCCCAGGAGGTTCTTAAAGCTGCAGAATGTCAGCACTCAAAATGTGAAGTGTTGTCACCTACAAGCCAGTGTCATTTCCTCTTGGTTTTAATTGTGTTCGTGAATACCTACTCCACAGAAAGTGGAAATGCATTTCAGCAAGGAATCTGAGCAAATCTGTCACAGAATACCTCTGGGCTACACAAAGGAATGTAAGCTCAGAGGAAAGAGAGTTACTTGACTATACAACTGGTTGAACAGCCTTATAAATGGGATTAATTCATGGACTCATAAAAAGCAAGAAGGTGCCACAAAAGTCCTTTCAGTTCAGCATTCTACACATTTACTCAGACAAAGGTGTTGTGTCCTGATCCAATCCACTAATGCCTCTACATTGGTAAGAATTGCTAACCTGTATCATGGAATCAGAATCCAAAAATAGCTTGACCTTCTGAAACAATAGGCTAACCAAAGGCAAAGATTAAATGTAATTGCAGTAAGTATTTTTAAAAGTCCCTAATCAGGTGTCAAATGTACAATTGGGGAGAAGTGTATTTTCACAAGATGAAGCAAATAAATATGCATAATTAAATAAAATACTGTGGGTACAAAAAATAAATGGAGAGAGAGCAGATTAAATTTTAGGATGAGTAACTATAGAGAAGAAAACCCAATACATCTAATGATATTCATTCATTCCTCATTCCTTTAGGTTCAGCTTGGGGACCACACTCCAGGAAAACCAGGAGTGCCTCCAAAGGAGAAATGCCCTGTGATACTGAGACTCCCAAACCATGTCAGTTCAGGATGGGTTGAAGAAACTGAATATTATCATACAGACTATAAGAGTTGTCATAAATGAGAACATTTTGTGTAGGTATTCTAAGAGTTAAAAATTGGGATATAAATATTTTAAAGACAAATAGTATAGTCCAACATAAGAGTTCTTATGCTAAGAACAGATAAAATAAAGAAACGCCTATAACATTTAAGATAAATATGGATAAATAATTTGCCTAAATCAATCTTCATATTCTCTATGAACTCAAAAATAAGCTTATCTGCTAAGGAAGAAAAGAATAAGAATAGTTTGAGTGAACTGGAAAACCTGAAAAAATGGAACATGCGCTATGGAGATTTCGATATGAAATTATCTAAGAAAGAATAAATTCCCAGCATTATCAATCATCCTTTAAAGTGAATTAGGTTGGAGTAAATCATGTTCTAATGGCAAGAGATTTGAGGGTTAGAGCAGAGTTGTCATTGCTAAGATGATTGTGATCAGTACAAAGAGAGAAACATGGGGAAAGTAAGGGAGGCCAAAGAAAAATAATGGAAGATGATGGTGTCAGGTAATGGCGAGTGAGATGAATTATTGGAAAGTTAGGAGATTGATAGGAGAAAGAGGATATGAGATTCTCAGCCTTTTCAGCTGGGGAAATTTCGGTGATGTGAAGGCCCAGGGTGGTGAATACCAGTGGATTCCCAAAGGTAAGGGCAGCAGGTTAAGGTCCTGTGAGAGCGGAACATGTAGAGGTTGAATGAAGTTCTGAACAATGTCAGCTGACTAAGATGCAGAAAGAAAAACCTCCATTATTTCAGATTACTGAGGAAAGTGTGATGTTCAGGAGGTTAACAAGCGTTGGTAATGGGGAGAGAACAGATAACATTAGTGGAGGATGAAAACTTAGAAAAACAAAAGATAATTGGGCAATGATCAACAAAATAACAGTTTATAAGCAATTCTGAATATGCTGCAAGCCATATGAGAGAAAACCATAATATTCCATGGAGGGCCATTGCAAAAACAAATACCATTCTTTAAACTGAATTCTTGAGTAGTACAACTTAGAGCATCAAGGCATAAAAACTTAACTCAATAATTACAAAGATCACATAATTAAACTTATTAGACACTCTGCATCAGGCACTGAGTCCAGTGCTGAATATCTTGAGGGAGACTGGAATTTGGTATAAGATACAAACATCTAAACAGGTATTTTTATGTAATTTAGCAGAAAGAAAGGGAATATGTAGGTTGGGTCAGACCTGGAAATTATTTCAGGATTAAGAAGTTTTCCTTGGTCCGCCCAACTTCCTTTGCCCAGGTGTCCACTCCCCAAACCATTGTCTTCTGCTGGCTTCTTGCTCATTCCCACTACAGTGAGAAGGAAGAGATGGTATGTGAGTTAATTAATTTCAGTTGCATTTAATTTTCCAAAAGGGAGGGTTCATTTTAATGAAAGATTATTAATGAACAGAAAGCCTTCTAGGCAGGTGAAGTTCATAACTATGAACAGTGAGAATCACATTTTTATGTTAAGGTTGCAGGAAGACCCTCCAGTTTTATAAGCTGCTCTAAAGCTCTTCACTTCTTGCAAATAATTTTATCATGCTCTCCATAAGCCTCAGGACTACAGGAAGATAAAGCCTGTTGGCCTCCAGCCAAAGGAGAGAAAAAAATATGAAATGGGTCAGATACTTTCAAATGATTTGAGAAAAATAGGGGCAACTGTGATTTAGGATAGCCAGGAAATTACTCCAACCCCAATTAAGTCACCTACTTCATGGACAATTACATTTGCTCATTTAAGACCTAAAAATTGCTAAAACCTCTTATTCTATCAGGGCAAGATAAAGATATCCAAAACAAAACTATTGCACAGGTACCTAATCAACAATTCCTAAATAAATCTAGATAGTCTAGAGACTAAGAAGAATTGAAATTATTGGTATTTAGAACAAAAAATAACAGTTTCTACAAATAGGAAGAGAAGTAATAGTAATATTTAAGAAAAGCTTCTTGGGTAAATAATTATAATTTAAATAATATAAAAATCATTGCCGTAAATGCTATGAGTCTTAGCAAATAAAAGAAAGGCTAAGAAACTTTCTGGAAAATCTGACATAGAGAAAATATTGAGAATAAATAGTTTCCTCCAGTTTTGCCCCATCAATAATATATTTTGGTATGTTCAGTGGTTGTTTTAAATGTCCACTTCTCTTTACCTGCAGAGATTCATTCTTAAGGCTAATTTGATTTTTATTTATTTCTGAAAATGGTGAATTAGAAACTTCATGGGCACACATGTTATTTTAAACTAACTTGTAAAAAAAATCAGTGTTTTTCTCCCTAGACTCACATTAATTGTTGATAAATGCAGCCTACAAATGTAGACATAGAATTTAATTTCTTTTGTATGATATCAGACAAAATTTAAGATTATGCAATATCTTTATTCATTAAAAATAATGTTAAATCACCATATGGCAGCTAGTGGGAGCGGGTTACAGGGTGGAGGGATTGAGGAAAAAGAAAAAAGGACCCATGGACGTGGACGACAGTGTGGTCCACTGGGGAGAGGTGGGTATAAAAGGACTAAATGGAAATGGAAAAAATACAATAGAGATTTAATTTAAAAAACATAATAAAAGAATTTTTGTTTGAAAAATGTCTATGACAAAACTGTTGACATTTAGTCATAAAATTTTACTGATGTATTCATAACAGAAATAATTTAATTTTAGTTATCACTTCTTCGGTTTTAATACAATATAATATTAACTAAACCAGTTTTTAAAATAATACCTTAAGCAAGATCATTTAATAAATCACAGGTATAAGAGATATTACTACTAAGCATTGTGGTTTTCCACATTTCTTTTTTCTTTGGTGTTGCCAGGTATAAATAAAATATCTTTACATTTCCTTCCTCATTCTGTAAATGACAGCTGAATTAGACCCATTATTTTCTGCCAGAACATCTAGAAACAAGGCCTTTAAGGGGCTATTTATATCCATATACTATGAAATACCTCACCAAGGATAAGTACTTTATATTTTTGTTGGATTTTGAAGAGAGAAATATATTTTCTTTGTCATAAACTAGAAAGAGGTATTACGGTACAAGAAGAAAGAGCACAAGTTTTCTACTAAATAAATTTCACCTGCCTACATTTTCTGTCCAATACATTTAAAATCATACAAGTGAGTCTATTTTATATTGATACGTTTTATTATTGTAACACTATTTAATTATTCTAGAAGTTTTCCTACTATTTTATCAGAAGGCTTTATATAGAGAGTCTATTGTTTGGATAAGAGAAAGTGTAGTTTATGCATGTATATTTTAACTTCGTGGTTATTTTTCTATTCAGTCACAGATCTCTTCAGCTATCTGAGAAGTCTAGACTATTTCCCTAAAAACGCAGCAACTCAGTTGTTTGAATACAATGTCAGGGACTTCATGACCCTTGAAGTACATCCACAGAACCAGGTGTTTGGTAACTGAATAGAGAGCACAGCCTACACAGACAATCTCCACTGAAAAAGTAATAGAATTCATATGACTTTTTCACAAGTTAAAGTTTGCTTCGGAATTTTAGACATCTGTATCATTTTTACATTGTTAATAGTGTAAAAACCGTCACACCACTAAACCATTACCTGAAATAGCACAGTTGCACAAAAATAATTATATTAGGAAAAGAAACATATTAATTCTACATTATGAATCAAGACATGAAAATCTGTATCTCTCTATAAGATGTTGTGTTTCAACATCTTATATATGGAACCAGAGGGTTAACGATTTTCCTACTAAGCCCAGTTCTGGAAGTACACAGACATTTAATGAAATCGGCATCAGAGACCTAGCCCTGAAAAATCACTACTACTGTGTTATAAATGAAGCTCTAATTTAATATATATCCCCCGCCCCTACACACACACACACACACACACACACTCATACGGATTTCCATCACGTTGGAAACCCAGGTGCCTTCTGCTAGTTACCATTAAGTGAGATTTACAACCTTCTGGTTTATTTCAGAAGATGTAAACGGCTTATCGAGTGCAAAGTGAAAGAACAGGCACGTGAAAAACAAATGAGCTGGAGAAAGACGCACAAAATCTATAGCCAGAAATCACATGACTACGTTGCTTGCAGCCCCTCTCATCACCGTCACTGTGAGGCAGCTCAGCCCATCAAGTACCGGTTCCGGGCACAGGTCCGCACTCAGAGACGGGGTGGTCCCTGCTCACCGTTTCCCCAGGTGAGACGGAAATTAGCCAAACGGTAACTAGCACTCGGGCTGGGGCGCGCGCGCGCGCGCACACACACACACACACACACACACTCTCTCTCTCTCCCTCTCTCCTTCTCTCTCTCTCTCTCTCTCTCTGGTCAAGCCCTTGAGCCCCGCTGGAAGTTTCCTGGCTGTTTTCTCTAAGGAATCCTGCGATCCTAGCTGTTTGCTCTCCAGGAGGGCGTATGGCTCACCCACTCCGTAGCAAGCGGGTGGAAGCTGCGGTAATGCCCAGGCTCTAAGGTCCCAGCGCCCCTTTGTTGCTCCAGCTTTCTTTCCCATGCGCAGGAGGCCGCGGAGCCGCGCCGCGCCTGGCTGGCTGCTGCTGCCCCGCGCCCGGGCGGTGGGAGAGCAGCGCCCGGGCGCGCCCAGCGAGTTCTCACGGCCCGACTCCGAGGGCGCAGCCTCTAGCGAGGTCCGCTGGAGCCCACCCCTATCCGTACTCCTCTCTCCGGAGTCGTAGTTCCCCCAGGCCCTCAGCCTGGTCCCCCGGCGCGTCTCCTTTGCCCCCTCGCTCCTCCCCCGCGTGGGAACCGCGCCCAGGCCCCCGGCGCTGGGCAGCGGGAAGTTGGGGGGCCGGTGGAGGACTAGCCCAGGCCCGGGGCCCGGAGCCGGAGAAAGCAGCGGCCGCTCTGGGGAGACCCGACACTCGTGGGTAGGCTGCGACAACTTACTCAGTGACCTCCCAGATCTCTGGACTGCGTTTCGGATCTACAGCAGCTCCAGGGCGCGCCTTGCACTGTGAATGCAGAAAAAAGGAGAGTGGGCGTCAGGGGGAGGAGGAGGTGGGAGGGAGCCGGGACCCTGCGGTGGCACCTGCGGATCCCCGGGCAAATGCACCCAACGCACACGCAGCCGCAGCGCTCGCACTCGGGCTCACTCCTGTCTACCTGCTCAACAGGCTGTGACTCTCAAATCCGATTCCCGCGCGGCTCCGCAGCATCCGTTCCGGTAGCGGTCTCTCCCTGTGTCTACCCGTCTCTCTTTCTCCGATGACCCCAAAAGATCTCTGGCAGTTTCTTTCCCTACGACACTCGACTTGTTTTCAGAACCCCTTCCCTTCCCTGCACCGAAAAACTGAAAAAGAAAGTAGTGGCTACAACACACCATGGTGAGGTCACTCAGGGTCCTTTGGCAGCCGGCGGAGGTCCCTCCCCGGCAGGTGTGGGTCGCTTAGGGCGTTTCCCCAGCGGTGGTCCGCCTTTGGCCTCGGGTCTCGCTAAGCAAACGTGTAGAAGTGCACAGAAATCTGCCTGTGGAAAACCAGCTCTGGGCTGAGTCCCACCCACTACGCCCAGACTAGGGCCGGGGAACTGAGTCTGGCCCCTCCAGCTACCCAATCACCATCCCAGCAGTTACTCGGTGGAAACAGAAAGAGGGGATGGGGACGGGAACAAAAAAAGAGGAAGGGAAAAAAGGAGGGAACTCAGGAAAAAAATTGGCTTCTTTAAGCAAACAAAAAACTCCACTCTCCTCTGATTTGGAAAAACTGTAGTTTACCATAGTTAAAACTTCCAACATTTCTGCTGGGAAGTTGGTGTCTGCACGGATTGTTCTCTTGTTCTGGTTTTCAGCGTTAAAGCCCATCTACTCTTGCAAATGCAGTTAGTTCTTTGGTTGCAGACATTTACATCCTTCCGGTAAGATCCTGATTCTGCTTGATTCAGTACATTTAGTTCTGTTTGTTGGGGTAGGGGGTGGTGTCCGTGTGTGTATTCCAGCACAGAAAATTAGGTTCTGATATTGTTTTTCAGTCACCTTTCTGACTTGCAGAATAAAAAAATTCATTATGCTGTTTCAGTGTGAATTCACAATTATTAATGATCATTAATAATTATTAATTATTGAAGAATAATGGTTATTAATGTGGTCCTTCTTCAAACCCAGGAACTCTGGGACAAATTGCCCATGGTTATCTCCAATTTTTATATTTCTCCCCAAACCTACCGCATAATCTAGTGCCATTTTTGACTCATCACATTTACAAATTCTCTCCCATTTTTGTTGGTTGTGCTCTTCTCACGGCAAACATCAGAATAAGCTCCCCCCAAAGACATTTAAGTAAGAAACAAGGCATTTAAATAAACTTTGCCTTAGTAACAGACAAAAGATTATAGTTACAAGTTTGCATGTTTTGGTTCTTCCACTTCTGAAAACTTCTCTTCCTCTACTCCCAGCCCAAGATAATCTCTTATTATGGTTTCTGTCCCCAGGATACTTAGAATTTAAGACCTAGAAAAAAAGAAATACCCACTAACACATAATTGAAAGAGAACCTCACGCCAGTTTTTTTAAAATAAATTCAATATGAAAGCACAAAAGAAAAGATTTTTTTGACAGGAGACTTAACTGCATAGGAGAGCAGCATCAGAGTTAAGTCTTTAAAGGGTTGATCCTACTTGGATAAAGATAATAGAAGTTCGTTTTTGTTTTGCTTTGCTTTTTTTCACTGAGCGAAGACGTGGAGGTAGGGAGCAGTGACATGGATATTCAAGAAACAGGAAGTGGTACCATTTGATAAAAAAAATGCAAAGTGCATTGAAAAAGTATAAGAAGATAAGGTGAAAAGATCAGTTGGGTCCAAATGCCTTGTTTGCCTGTCCTCTAGTTGTCATGCACTATAGGCTTGGCTAAAACTTGATTTTTTGTTTTTGTTTTCCCCTACTGGTATTACTCTTATCAATATTCCTTTCATCCTAGAATGGGATCTGCTAAAGCTGTTAATTTCTGCTTTTACCATCCTCTAATTCTGTACACCACCCACCTTTTCAAAAGTACCACATTTAACCTTAGTGATTTCTGCCAGGGGCTACTCGCTCTTACCAAGGGTAGACTGTCAGTTGGAGACAGTTCTGTACTCTTTGTCCACCCATTGTGAGTATGGGGTATGTGCAGAACACAACCAATCTAGGGTTAAGTGTGGCTGGAATCACCACAAGGTGACTGTGAAAACCACTTATTTGAAACCACAAATCTGAATATTTGATATGCCCTCAAAAAAAAATACTGGAAGTACTTTTGCACTAGAAAAGTAGTGTTTTGCACTAGAGAAGTGATCTCTGCAGCCCAAGTACTTCTCAGTAAACATGGTTCATAGTAGGGATTCACTGAAATGACTGTTGAGTGGATGAATGAACACCTGAGTATGTCATCATCTTCCCTGTCCATTCTTCTGGCTTACAGGTGATATGTAGGTTAAAACTCACCTCCACTTTCTTGAGAATAGGATAGTTGTCATGCCAACTTAACAAAAATGTTAACAAGGACAAGTATTTAGTTGAAAGCAATCCTGGGTAAACTTGTCAGCTCAGGCAGAAAAGATGCCTTGTTCTCCCTGTACTCACAATGACAACAGTACGAAAACATTTTCATGTGTATTCTTTTCACACTTGCACATGACAGTGCCAACCAGAGATGTGATCTAACCCTCACTGGTTACAGTGTGGTCTGTGTATCACCATGACCTGCAATCTTGTCAGAGGTATGGAATGTCAGACCTCAGCCCAAACAAACCTACTGAACCATTTAACAAAATCCTCCCTGGATCCCTATGCATATTAAAGTCTGAGAAGCACTGATCTACAATCAACTCCCTAAGTATGTTAAACCTGGGAACATGTTGCAGGATTATCTTTAATCCTAAGGATTTTTAGAACTTGCATTTCTCTCTCTCTCTCTCTCTCTCTCTCTCTCTCTCTCTCTCTCTTCTTTCTGGGATATTACTACCATATCAATTCAAATAAATTAAGGACACTGATGGATTCATCTCTGCTGGCTTCTTGGTCTAGTTCATAAACCAACACAAGTTCCTCAACTGAAGGGAATTAAGAGAAAGGGTGAAGGAGCAATGCAGCAGGAGGGAAGAAGGGAGAGCACCATTTATGCTATTATATGCCCCCCTTTTATGTCAGGGGCAGAAATTCACTTCATTATTTTTTTTAACAAACCACTGATTATATTAGTTGTCAGATCAGGATAACTTGTCAAACACAAGAAAGATAAGAAACATTTCACGATCATTTCCCTCTTTATTATTCTTTGATACTCCTTAAGATAACTATTAGTTTTCAATTTGTTTTAAACACACCTAGTTAGACAAATTTATACTGGTAATTTGTAATTATCAGGACCATGTTACTACTCCAAAACATCTGTTTTAATTATGAAAAGAAGACCATGTGGCATTGGAATTCCTAAATTTTTAGTCATGGTAGGACATTCATGAAAAAAGTTGGACTTGAAAAGAGTCTAATGATGGTAGAAATGTTGTTCACCCTATTTTCTTGAAATAAATGGTGTTTGTTAACAGTAAATAGAACACTGGGGTGAAAAATGGCCCACAACCCTTGACCCCAAAATGTCCATGGCTTCATTTCTGATACCTGTGACCACATTGTCACATGGCACATGGCAAGGGGGAGTAAAATTTGCACAAAGAATTAGGATTGTTAATCAACTGACCTTGAGATCACCTATGTGGGTCTATCACAATCACAAGATCCCTTCAAATAAAAGATGAAAACAAGAAAGTCAAGGTCAGAGTCAAAGAGAATCAGAGAAATGCAATGTGAAAAAGAATTGACCCGTAATTGCTGGCTTTGAGGGTGAAAGAGAGGTATTTCTAAGAAATGCGTACAGTCTCTAAAAGCCAGGTCATCCTGGAAAAATGATTCTCCCTCGGAGCCTCCAGAAAGCAACACGGCCGAACTGAAGTCTGCTATATGCAGAAAAGATGGATTTGTGTATTTAAAGGAGAAGATTTTTAAAGAAAGTGTTGAAGTCATTGCCTGGTTTCTTCTTGCTGCTTCCTATAAAATGTGAAAAAAAAGAGAGATTGAAGGAGGAACTATTAAGCAGAAAAGAACCAGGGCTTGGTGATTTACAAAATCCTCAGCTTATTACAAAAGATGCCAAGCCATCGTCATCCAGGTAAATATAACATCTTTGCACTTTGGTGATACTGGGAAAGTTTATTGACTTTCATATTTTAAAACATACAAGAGATCCCTATGTTTTTACTTGTGTCTTAAGGTAGAAGTCATATTGACTCTTTTATTCCTAATATCATTACCTAGCACTAGCACTCCACAAATTGTTTATGCTTTGAAAGGAGACCAAACTGGTAGCCTGTAGACCTCAATATATTTAATGATGCTTTGAAAATATCTCCTGATTGAAATAACTTACAACTCAATTGACTTTAAGAAATTGAAAAAAAAATATATGGTAGAGACAATGACGTAGAAAGTTCCCGAGATGAATGGATTGATGGATACTGTAAAATAAGTGTTTGTGAAATTTCTTCAAAGGCATTTATTGAATGGAACTATATTACTCTATCCAGTTAAAGATACTTCACATGGATAAAAATTGACACATTTAAAGAGAACCATTTAGCCATACAAAGATACAACATTTGCAAAAACAAACAAACTAAAAGACAGTCCATATTGATGGTTAAGGTCTTCAATATGAATATTTCCTTCTCTAGCTTAGTCTCCCACCCCCCACCCATGCACAAAATGGACAGAGCAAGCTCATGTTCCACCTCCCTGCTCCTAAAAGCCATTTAATATATTGTGCTGGAATAGAGGATGTATCCCATAATAAACTGATGAGAACAGATACTGCACTTGATCTTAACCAAAAGGCTGAGAAATATTTTCTTTTTTTTAATTTTAAGAGTACATTTATTAAAGCTGGTGGCAGTGAAACAAGAAAGGGCTTAGGATAGAAGTAGCAGCAGGAGAGTCTAGGCAGGGGTACTTCGGTTCTCTAGAAATGTTAGAGGAAGGGATGGGCTGAGGGCTACTTGAGAAACAGTCTATGTGAGAAATAAAAGTCACAGTGACTCAAGTCAGCCAGAGTGGGTCTGGTCTTGGCTCACTGAAAAGTCAGAGAAAGGGGGGCCTTGGAGACAGGTTCAGGGGGTCAGCCCAGGATGATCTGCAGTGGCCCACTGTGTTCGTGTTTACCAGTCTCAGGGAAACCCTTAGAGTATAGGAGATACACTCCTGAGAGGGAAGAACAGCATGGGCGTGTTCTTGGGAGGGAGCGTGTGCTCCACATCTTTGACTTTAGTAATTTTTAAATAGAAAAACTAACACTAGCTGTCAACAAATGCATTATTTAGACTATTCATAACAGCCCCAAATTAGAAAGAACTCAAATGCCCAGCAACAGGTGAGTGGATGAACCCATTGCTGTACACGCATATCATGGGATGCTACTCAGCAGTAGAAAAGAAGGATCTACTAAAAAGACAGGAACATGGATGAGTCTCAAAAATGTGCTGAGGAAAAATAAAATAAAAGAGTACATACTGCATGATTCCAATTATATGAAATTCTAGAAAGAGTAAAACTAATCTGTAATAACAAAGGGCAGATGAGTAGTTGCTTGGAGCTGGGATGGGAAGTGGCCAGCAGAGAGGCACAGGGACTCTGTGGGTTA